GGGGGGGGGGGGCCGCCTCCGCCTCCGTGCCATGTATGCCAGTCCCTGGAGAAAATGGGAAACTAGGTGCTCCCTGATGTTGGGGGCTAATAGTCAGGGTGGGGAACAGATGCGGGGTGGGTGGAGGCCTGGCCTCCAGGCCCAGAAGAGGAAGTGTAGAGGGGGTGGGGTGCCGGGTGAGGGAGGTGGGGAACAGATGAGGCCCAGTGGTAACCAGTGTGTCCCCAGTGGGCAGTGCCTGTGGTGAAGGTCCCACGAGTTCTTTATGAAGTGGAGCTGGACAATGCACACATGTAGAAATAAAGAAAATAAAAATAAAGAATACTCTTTTAAGCCCAGAGGGCTTTGGGGGCCAGACAAGGCCACTGAGGGCACAAGAGGTGATGCAAAAGGTGACTTCCCAGGTGGGGTGAGGAAAGGGGCCTGGAGGGCTTCCTGGAGGCAGTGACTTGACTAGGTGAACAGGAAGCCAAAACTTCCCCAAACTCTCTCGGAGATTTGGTTTGGCCTGGCGTGTAGGAGAGCAAGGAGCGGGGGTCAGGCAGCTGACAAGTGCTGGTGTGTGGGAGGTTGTGGGGGGCCTCAATGGGGGAGGGAATGAAGAAGCTGACTGCCCCTTGCATGTTACTGAGGCATGGTGGTCAGTCTAGTGCTGATGATTGGGTGAGGGGAAGGTTCTGGAGAGGAGCCTGGTGTCAGTTGGACTGATAGACCTGACTTGGTGGGAGTGGGAGGAAGAGAAGGAGGTGCTGATGGCCAACTCCCGGCGCCTCTGGGGGCAGGGGGGAGGTACTGGGGGAAGTGGGTTGCTCCACCATCTAGAAGAAGAGGAAACTCGGTGAGGTGGTGGAGCACCAGTGGACCCCATGGAGCCTCCTGGGGGACAGCGTGTCTGCAGGGTGTAGGGTGGGTTCTGTTCCACTCCCCAAGTACGCTGGGCAAGGCTCCTGCTCTGCTCAGTCGCTGTGTTAGTTTGCGCTCCTTCCTGAGCAGTCAGAAGAGTCCATCTCTGAGTCTCACTGGGACCCTGGCGGACCCTGGGGTCAGGGCAAACCCGCGATAGATTGTCCGATTTACTGATCTGGAGCCGCTGTCCTGCGGCTCACTGCGGGGAACCCTGCCGGTGGTGCGTGGGGCGGGGCTGCAGTGTGGGACCCCCGCCCCACAGTGTCCTCCTTAGCACTGGCCTCCGCTTTCCATGAGGAGCTTCCTCTCAGTGACAAATCTGAACCATGACCACTGTTTCCACCCACGGAGGCTGGGGGAACGGCCATAGGGGGGCTGTCCCCTGCAGGAGGTCAGCCCTGCCCACATGGCAAGGTCACGCATGTGCGTGTGTGTGCACACTCACACTTCTCGGCCTCTGCCCCTTGCCTTCCACTCGGGCCGTCTTTCTTTTTATTATTTTTTTGGTTAATCGTCACTGGAGATTTTTTCCATCGATTTTTAGAGTGGAAGGGACAGAGGGGAAGGAGAAACATTGATGTGAGAGAGACATTGGTTTGTTGCCTCCTGCACACGCCTCAGTTGGGGCTGAGGATCGAACCTGCAACCCAGGTACTTGACCAGGAATGGAACCCATGACCCTTCGGTGTGCAGCCGATGCTCTAGCCACTGAGCGCACTGGCCAGGCCCGAGCCCTTTCTTTATGAGCAGTACAGGACTTGGGAAGCCAGGATCTCCAAGGGAAGCTGGAACTCTGCTGTTCCTTTCCACTCATTAGCAGCTGGACAGCCAGGTGGGCAATTGTCCCCCGTCCCCATCTGTCCTGCATTCCTGGCCGCCTCAGGGGCAGGACACACTCACTCCTGTAACTCCCGTCGCCCCACGGCATCTGGGTGTGGTATCTGCCCCCCTCGGAGCTTCCTGCTCCCCCTCCCTCCTCTGCTCTTAGCAGACAGCCCCTGGCTGGGGCTGGGTGAGAGCAGAGCCCGGAGGATGTTGGGCAAACCGAAAGCAGGCATTATTGCCACACGTCTGACCACTAACCCCTTCCTTTCTGCTTTCTTCCAGATTTCTCAGGAAGGTCAGAAAGAAGCACACCGTTTCAGAACAGCACGAGAGGCCTGTGACATTGGCGATGGCCAGAGCCACCTGACCCCCCAGTGCGCTGAGAAATGTGGGTCCTCAGGGGTCACAGCCCCCACCAGCTCCAGGCAGTGCTGCAGGTCAGGGCCCCGGGGCTCTGAGCAACCCACCCGGACACTCGCCGTGGCCTCGCTGCAGCCGCTGCTGCGACCCCTGCCGATGAGGATGTGTGCCCACGCTGCGGAGCTGCTCGCCGCCCTCGCCATGGTGTTTGGGGCCGTGGTGGCATTTGCACCCATTCCGAGGATCACCTGGGAGCACAGAGGTGAGGGCAGAAGCATGTCGGGTGCTGAGGGCAGCTGCCCGTGGTCCTGAGATGTGTGTGCGCCACTGGCTGCCGGCTCTGTGCTCTCGGCGCGTGTGTGTGAGCAGGCAGCCTGCATCGCTGCATCGAGGGAGATGCTTCCGAAACTGGAACACTCCAGGCCTTGCGTAGGGCCTGATGATCTGGTCTCTGTATCAGGGGCCCCTGAGAGGAAGCCCGCTTCCCTGTCCGGTGACATTTGACTCTCACTGCCCGGGCATAAACCACACTGTGTCCTGTTCTGAGGACATTAACTATGTGCAGCTGAGCTTCAGGCCAGTCGTTCCCATTGGCTGTTTATTAGTTTCTTCTGTATTTATTTTCTTTCTTGGGAGCTGTCTCGGGACCGGGACCCCAGCTTTCCAGGCTCAGTGGCCCTGAGCTCGTAGGGGTGGCTGTCCGCTAGAGCTCAGGGCAGCAGGTGTGCTAGGAGGGCCTTCGTGCTGTGTGCCTGTCTCCCACCCTGGTACTTAGATCAGCAAGAGGCGTGAACTCCAACTCCTGAGTGAAACCAGAGCTTGGTAATACACAGGAAGCCAAGTACAGGACACTCACATTGACGCTGATGGTTAGAAAGAAGAAACCGCTCCTGAGGAAACAGGCTGACATATTCATATTACCCCCAATAGCTCACCATTGCACTCCTGTTCTAAATAGCTGTTGATCAATTAATTACCCAGTAAGGGAAATGTCACTCCTTTCCTTCTTTCTCTGTTTTGTAAGTTTGTACTAGTTACCCCTGAAAATGCTTGGGTTAAGGGATATATTCACTAAAATCTATTTTATTAAAGGCAAATCCTTTTTTTTCCTGAGTAAGAAAATCCTAAATAGTTAAATTCTTTATACACTTAATCTATGGATGATTCGACACACAGAGATAAGAATTTGGTAGGAGGGGGAGGGAGCTGCCACGATCAGCAGCTTGAGGTGTCTGACCTGTAGTCTCCTGAGAGGTCACAAGGTTATACTGCCAGGAGGTCATGCTGCCAGCAGGTCATGCTGCTGTGGGGTCACTTTCCTGGGAATTCACATGCTTAGAGGTCATGCTCCTGGGAGGTCACGCTGCCTAGAGACCACACAGGGTGCAGGGTTTGGAACTCTCGGCTTGAGGGAGCAAAAGGGGATGTTAGACCACAGCACTGGTCAAGCACTGGCTCTGGGCCTCATCGGGGTCCCATGCACTTGGTGGCTGCCTCGGCAGCTCTCTTCCACCCAGAGGTGCCTGAGCTCTGGCCCTGGTCAGGGCTCGCCACCGTGGCAGTGGACCTATGCCACGGCCCTGGCAGTATGGCAATGCACTGAGTGAGAACAGATGCTCAGGGTGTGTCCAGGCTCAGAAATGCCTAATGTGTCCCCCTACCCCTCTCTCCCCAGAGCTGCAGCTTATGCAGTTTCACCAGCCGGGCATCTTCAACTACTCAGTCCTGCTGCTGAGCGAGGACCAGAACACCCTGTACGTGGGCGCCCGGGAAGCAGTGTTTGCCTTGAATGCACTCAACATCTCCCAGAAGCAGCACGAGGTATGGCCTGGGCTCCCTGCCCCCTGCAGTCTGGGCTGCAGACCTTACCAGTATTTCCTCAGATCGACACACTGGGCTCCTCCCCAGGAGTCAGGCCCTCTCCTGGCCATGCTCGCTCCGGGCGGGGTCGCATACGTCCTGTGTCGGGAGAGCAGCCTCCCCTCCTGTCAGTGGGCCTCGGGCCCTGTCATCCAGAAGCTTCCTTCCCACTCTGCGTCCACACAGCCCCATCTCAGGTGTCCCCTAGTAGCCTCACCCAGGAACCACCCTCTTTCCGGCTGGGATTTTTGAAGCTGTTGTTATGGACAATCTCAAGGGTACACAGGAGTAGAGGGAGTGATGTGATGGACCCTCTGCCCATCGAGGCTCCTGCAGGCGGGGTTGGCCCCTTGTCCTCCCCCACGTCCCCTCCCTCTGCTCCCTCTACGTGGCTTTGAAGCAAAACCCAACACATAGTCTTCATCTTCTAAGTGTCTCCCTGGGCATCTCCTAAAGGAAAAGACTCCTTTTTTTCAAAATACTATTGTCACATCCAAAAATTAATGTTGTCGAATAATCAGAGTTCAGGTGTCACAGGCTCTGTTATAAGTAATGTTTGACGGTTCAGTTTGAGTCCAGTGGAGATCAGGCCGTCGGTGTTCCTGGCACTCTGTCCTCGAGCCCCTGTTTCTAGAGTCACCCTGAGTCCCCTTGCTGGGAGAGACACCTGCAGTCCTGTCTGCCGCCCACCACCGAGGCAGGTGCTCCTCCCCCAGCCTTGACCACTGCAGTCTAGAGCCACGTGTATCAAGGACTGCAAACCGGGACTTTCCAAATGGTTCCTTCTCCATTTGTGAGCCGGAAATCACCTTTAAAGGGGAAATGCCTGTGGCTGGCTATTCATGTCTTTCCAAAGCGAGACCGTGAGTCGCTGATTGTTTGATTTTATTGTGACCATGGACTCGTGGGTTTAAATGTGTCTGAATCCCCTCGATCCATTTGCGTTCATTCAGGTCCTCACTTGAGGCCCAGCCTCCCCTTGGCTTGGGAGGCCTCTGCGGTTGGTGTAACTTTCTCAGTCTCTGAAACCCATATGGTCAGGCTCATCTGGTGCATTTTCTGCCCCAGATCTGTTCCGTTTTATTTCGTCTTAGTCTTCAGAGCCCAGCATAATACCAGTGTCTGCGTGGCACACAAATGAGCTTCTGGTCATACTCTGCAAATGAAGTTCATGTGTGACCCCACGGTTCTCAGTCGGAGCTGGCCATTGCTCTCAATGGCATCACTGCAGCCCCTTAGGGTGAGGGAGAGGTAAAGAAGAAAAGTGAAAGCCACAGCCAGGCTTTGCTAAGACCCGTGAACGCGCTCAAGGGCCTGTCACGTGCATGTCCCCGTGTTTGTGCATTTCATGTAGGCAGTGATGAAGTTATCCGCATTTTAATCTCTGAAGGAAGCTGCTGTTTGAAGTGGGACTCGTGTGTTCTAATGGGGACGCCCATTTCTCTGAGAACACGCAGCACGGTTGCCGTGCCTGCTGTTCAGGCCTCAGTGGATGCCGATTAGCGTGGAGGACGCACCGGTGGGGACTCACCTCCCGCCGCTGAGAAGCCGTGAGCTTCCCCACCTTGGCCTGGCCGGCGGCTTCAGTTCTCTGGGTGGAAGATATGTATATTTGGCATCAGTCGCGCACTAGCACGTGGGGAGATGGGACAGCTGGGAAAGGAGAGGCAGGAGTGTGGAAGCCCTCGGTCATGTGGCCTGCGGCTTCCCATCCCCCGGAGGGCGCGGGGCCCCCTGGCCCGACGGGCCTGCTCGTGCGTCCACCTGGCGTGAGAGGCAGCACAGGCCAGCCGAGGCGCTCGACCTGGACGCGCTGCTTCGGCACTCGGCTGCTGCTGTCGTGTAAAATTAACAGTCGTGATCCCACCACGTGCTGGCCGTGGGAGGACATGCCAGGGCTGCTTCTGTTGGACCCTATAGTCACTCTTGAATGAAGTAAAAAACCCACTTTGATGTTTGAAAGACCTGCAGTTTAGCTTTTTGATAACTTTAATCCTCCCCACTTTCAGTAGTTTCGTTTTTGCTGTCATTTGCAGTGAATAGCAGGGACTGGGAGGGTCCTTCCAGGCCCCACTGGCTCGCAGGCAAGGATCCCGGGCAGAACTTTCACTGCCCACGTCTGCTCTCTCACCTCCCCGCCTGGTCTGCAGCCTCGGGCCTCACTGTCTCGGAGCTGCCCACTTGCCCACTCTGCCATCCTGTGCTCTGTAAATTGTACATTCTTAGACTAGTACCTGCTTTCAGAAGCGGACTGTGCACTGAAGTGGACTTATTCTCCCCAACAGGCATATTGGAAGGTCTCAGAAGATAAACAAGCAAAATGCGCAGAAAAGGGGAAATCAAAACAGGTAATTTCTTTTGCAAGCTACAGAAAACACACAGGTAGGCACCTGGCTGCTTTTGGAAATCAGCTGGGCGTTTTGCTCAGGTCTCTCATGACTCACCTACTCCTCTGTTCCCAGGTGGTGAGATTAGGTCCCTCAAGAAAGAATCAAACATAGTAGGCATTTGAGAAATGCTTTTTAAAGTTGAACTAAGTTGAATTTATTCAAATGGCCTAGACCTTGGACTGTGGAAAACGATGTCTGGTCCCTGCTGGCTGACTGTGAAATGAGGGTTCATGCCTCCTTCACCCAGTGCCTGGAGGGGTTGCGGTAGGATTCCTGGATTTTTGGCAACACTCATCCCTTGGGAATCTGCCCCTTCTCCAGGAGATACTGGCCATGCAGGGAGCACTGGATGAGTTCAGAGTGTCAGTGCAGTGGCTATGTGGTGACCTGGCCTGAGTGTCCATCTCCCTCTGGAGCTCTGGGTTATCCCCCACCCACCGAGCAGCCCTGCCCCCAACTGGTGCTGGGCAGATGTCAGAGTCTTGGGGTCTGAGAGCCCCACTTTCCTCGATAGTTGATTAAAACAGCTGAATTATGGTAAATTTCAGCAGTTACTGGCTATTTTCAAAACAATTAAAATTTTTTTTAAAAAAGACAAGTATTTTTTTGCTAAACTTTTTTAACAAAATGCTAAATACTTTCACTGAAGTCACTAAATCTAAAGTTACTTTAGGAAATGAGGGAAAATGCAGGCGTTTGATGTAATAACAGATGTCACAGGGAGTTGTCTTCGAGCTAAATTAGAGCAGAGCTTTGCCCTGCCGGGCTGAGGCCGAGCAGCGGGGTCCCTCCCAGCTCTTGTGGGAGAGCACAAATCGCCTCCAACCAGATTAAAACAATCATAGCAAAAAATCCTTTTCCTGCGAGGGGATAATTTCAGATGACAGCACATATAATCCAGGAACATATCAGCCTAAAATAGCGAGTGGGTCCTTAAGTGGCCCCTGGTCTTCCTGCGGGCCCCTCTGATGTGGCACAAGAGCCCCTCATCGGTCCAGCCCCTCCCCTGGGCGGGTGGCCAGACACAGCCCATCCCCAAGCACTGTTTCCAGTTTCAAGTGTTGGGGTGGGGAGGGTGGGGTCCTCCAGAGAGGAGGGCCGAGAGAACCCTGCACAGCATGCACCTCCGCAGGTTTAGTGATGACAACGCATGATTTGTGTGTTCAGTGAGTATAAATGCTTTTCTGTGGTGGGTGGGTAAGGCTTGAGGTTAGCTTTCATTGCTTCTGTGGCCAGCACATCTTTTCTGGGTACAAATTAGTGACTGCAGTGAAACTGTCGGCACCTGACAGCCAGCCTGTGGCCACTGCAGAGAGCAAAGCACTCAGTCCGGCTGCAGACCCAGGTTCGCCCAGGGGCAGCGGGCTCTGAGCCTGCTCCCTGCTGCCCACAGGGCAGGGCAGGTGCGGGAAGATGGAGCATTGCAGCTGCTGTGAGAGCACAGTCAGTGCACAGGCGGAGCTGCTGGGCAGGGAGCTGATGCCGGCGTGCACTCTGCTGGCTCCGAGCTTTGCAGCTCAGTGTCACCATGTGGGTGTGGAGGGTGTCCAGAGGAGGCTGGTGCTGGTTGACCCGTGCCTTCTTCCTTGTAGACAGAGTGTCTGAACTACATCCGAGTGCTACAGCCGCTCGGCACCACTGCCCTTTATGTGTGTGGGACCAACGCCTTCCAGCCAGCCTGTGACCACCTGGTAAGTCCAGGCCCTCCCCTGGTCAGTGTTAAAGCAGAGTGGGCTCCCAGCAGGCCTCAGGTGGTCTCCACTCTGCACAACCAAAGGCTGTTGTAACTTCCAGCCCTGTGATGGGGGCAGCACCGGCCACTCTCCACCTCCTTCAGACCCGGGATCCTGTCTGTAGACCATCCTGACTGAGGGCGGGGTGTGTGCAGGACTCACAGGACCATGGCCCTGGTGTGCAGCTGGCCATGGGGGGCCTCTGGGAAGTGCACTGTTGGTAGAAAGAAGCACCCACAAGCCATGATCCAGCACCTTGCCTCCTTGTCATGTTTGTGAGGGTGGCCTGGCTGTGACCCAGGTCTGGCCAAGTAGAAAGGACTTTATGACCCTAGAGCCATGCCCATCTCACAGATGAGTAAACTGAGGTGCCAAGATCTTGAATAGCTCTTGAGGGCGTCAGAGCCAGGGTACCAGGCGCCGGGTTCCAGACCTGGGACTCATGGCCAGCGGCACACGCCTTCTCTCGGTGCCCCCTGAGCAGCAAGTCTAAAATTAACGTGCAACAGAGCTGTGTGGTCATGGCAGAAACCCAGGCGCTGGATGATACTTTCTCTTCATTCAAATGTAGAACCTAACATCCTTTCGGTTCCTGGGGAGAAACGAAGATGGCAAGGGAAGGTGTCCCTTTGACCCTGCCCAAAGCTACACGTCTGTCATGGTCGGTAAGTCGCTCCAACACCTGTTGCTGCTTCCACTTCACAGCCCGTCTGCTCACAAGGGCCCTGTGCCCCTGCTGAGACCCCAACATGAGCTTCTGAATTCACTGTTCAAAAGGAGAGCCAGCCCCACCAGGCCACAGGCTGGACCTTCGAGGCGAGGGTCTCTTACACCCACATCTGTGCAGGTCGTCTGGGCTACTGGGTCGGGCGGTGTCAACGCTCCCAGCTGAGGCCGGTGTGTGCCTGAGCCCTGGAGTGGTCTCTCGCACTGGGGCAAGCAGGCCCTGGGCCGCGGGCACCCGCTGGCCTGTGTCACTCCCCTGAGGCGGGAATCACTTGCTCCTGTTCAGTCATCATCCCTGACTCTCGAAACATACAGTTTAACAAGGAGTGTAGGATTGTCCATGTCAAAGAAACGGGCGGAGACTCGTGTCCCTGGAGCAGGCGATGGTCCCCGTGTGTCCCGGGCGGGGCTCCTTTCAGGGTGTGGAGAGGGAGGTGTGAGCGGCCTCCCCGCGGTGCTGACCCTTCTCCCCTTTCCTCCTGGCCCTGAAGACGGAGAGCTCTATTCCGGGACATCGTATAACTTCTTGGGAAGCGAGCCCATCATCTCCCGGAATTCTTCCCACAGTCCCCTGAGAACGGAGTACGCGATACCTTGGCTCAACGGTGAGCAGCGGGCAGCCGCCGGAGGTGTGTGGCCACGCGGAGGTGTGTGGCCACGCCGAGGGGTGTGGCCGCGTGGAGGTGCGTGGCCGCGCGGAGGTGCGTGGCCGCGTGGAGGTGTGTGGCCTCGCAGCAGCCTCCCGGGCGGGGCTGCTCCACGCGCTGCATTCCCAGGACCTTTGCGCGGCTCCGCCTCGCGTGGGCCGCCGCTCTCGTCCGCCGGTGCGGTGGCCGCTCTGGAACTGCGCAGGCTGCACGGCAGCTCCCTGGGGCTCCCGCGGGTGCTCCTCACTAAGCGATGCTGTTGTAAGGCCACCTTCACCCTCCTGGAAAGTGGGTCCATGAGGCTTTCATAGAGGAGCTGGTGGTTAGTGGGAGCTCTGGCGGGGCAGGTCAGTGTGCCGTGGTATCTCGTTCCCCCCGGGCAGCATGTGTCCACGTCACGTTCACGGTGCAGGTGGCTTTAGGCCACTTGCATGAGGCTTTTCTCGTGGGCACCGGCTGGGCTCTCAGAGGCAGGCGGGCTGAGGGACAGTGGGTTCCTCCTTTCTGTGGGGCAGCTGGGCAGCCAGAGCGTTGGGGCCTGGACCTGTGGTCAGGAGTTTGTCTGTCTGAGGCATATGCTATTTAAACCAGCAAATGCACATCTGCTAGTGGGTCTCTGGGGACCACGGCCAGGGGTGGTATCTGGCTCTCCTGGACGCCCAGACTGCCTGGCGTTGGGAGGCCCAGCCTCGCATTCTTGGGGTAGGTGAGGTGAGTGTGCCTCAGGGCCACTTCCAGGGCACCTGGGCGGAGGAGGGCGAGCTGGGCACTGTCCTCGCTCCCGGACCCTGCAGGGTGTTTGGGGCACAGTACATGCACCCTCTCGTGTCTTGCAGGGAAAATGTACAGGGCTATGCCCAGGTCCCTCCACATGTACAGAGACCTCCTGTGTGTGCAGGGCTGCTGGGCTCTGCAGCGTTCGTGGAGATGACCCTGTCTCTTCCCTGCAGAGCCCAGCTTCGTCTACGCCGACGTGATCCGAGAGAGCCCGGAGGCCGCCGCGGGCAGGGACGACAGAGTGTTGTTCTTCTTCACGGAGGTGTCTGTGGAGTACGAGTTCGTCTTCAAGCTGATGGTCCCCCGGGTGGCGAGGGTGTGCAAGGTGAGGCTGCCTCATTTCTCTTTGGTCCCGCCTGTAGGGACAGCACCTTGCCCAGGCCCCACACTTCCCCCAAAAGGTCGATTTACCTCCTTTCTGTTCCTCATGCCACCGAGGGCAGTGTGGACGGTCCTTCTGCCCCGGGTGTCTGGAAGGAGCTGGAACCCCACAGAGCTTGGCACCCCTGAGTACCAAGGATTGGCTTCCAGTCCTCAGAGGGTCTGCATTGGACACACCTTCCTCAGACCTCACCGGAGTTACAGAAAGTTACTTTTTGTTTCCCGCATTCTGCTGGAATTGGGATTTCACCGTCCACTGTGAAGACAGGAGGGGTTTGTTTTTATTGCGTCCACAACAGATAGGATGCTTGGATTTATGTCCCTCTGCCTCTGTATTTCTGAGTTTAGTATTTCCAGACCAAGTCAAGGCAGGTATGTTTTATAATTGTCACTAAAACTGTTTATGGAGAACTTGGCTGGTCCAGGGCACTTGAGCAGAAAACTTGGGGGGCAGGAAGGAAGTGAGGACCTGCTCTCCCATGAGGAATGTCTTTGGGGGGAGACCAGACCTACGCACATGGGCCTGAGACAGACTGCGTGTGCTGCGCCTGGCCCATGGGTCTCTCGAGGGCAGGTCACGAGCCTGGGAGTACACAGGCCACAGGGCCAGAGCCATGGCTGTGCAAGGACGTGCTGTGAAGCTGAATGTGGGCAGACCCCAGCACCTGTTCCAGCTGCCACGGCAGCTTTCCCTCTGCAGGGTTTTATTTGGTTTTGTTGGAATCCGTGATCCAAGCTGCATGAGGGATTGCTGGGGTCATGGAGTGTCTGCAGCAGCTTCCTTTTCAGCCAGGGCTCCATCTCGTTCAGGCAGAGCAGTTCTGGGCACTCGGGAGTCTGCCTTGTCCTACCAGGCTCATCTTTGCATTTCAGGGGGACCAGGGCGGCCTGAGGACCTTGCAGAAGAAGTGGACGTCCTTCCTGAAGGCCAGGCTGGTCTGCTCCAGGCCGGACAGCAGCCTCGTCTTCAACGTGCTGCGGGCTGTCTTCATGCTCCGGGCCCCAGGCCTGAAGGAGCCGGTGTTCTACGGGGTCTTCACCCCACAGCTGTGAGTGCCGGGCGGTCGGGGGTTTCCTCCACACTGCCGCCCTCCAGGCAGTCACGGGCCCCTCCTCCCCAGGAACAACGTGGGGCTGTCAGCCGTGTGTGCCTACAACCTATCCGCGGCCGAGGCAGTGTTCTCCCGAGGGAAGTACATGCAGAGTGCCATCGTGGAGCAGTCCCACACCAAGTGGGTGCGCTACAATGGGCCCGTGCCCACGCCGCGGCCCGGGGCGGTGAGTGAGGGGCCTGGGCTGCCGGAACCTAGTGGGGGCCAGCCGTGCGGCACCCCTGCGCCTCCCTGGGGTCTGTGTGTGCCTCCCCAGGGAGCAGGCATCCCCCCGGGACTGGGAGGGGCAGCAGGCGGCCTTTCCTGTTCCTGTCACTGGCTGGTTGTGTAGCCACTGGTGCTGGAACTTTCCCAACAGGAGGCTCTTCTGACTGGCACGGGGGGAGCTGTGGAATGAGCATTGCGTAATGTAATTGGGTCCGTTTCATTTTCGGTTTTCTGTAGAGAAACGTACAGTTTCTTGGCAAGGAAATGCGCTGTTCTCTCCATTCATTAATATGAATCACACTTTGTCTCTTAAAAGTGGTGGATTTTATGTAGAAATGAGTTTCTAGGCCGATTGTTTTCTATGGCCAGTTCGTCTGTGTCATTCATTCTGCGCCTGATGTCCCGGCTGTGACCTGGGGAAGGCCTAGCACCCAGGGCTCACCCCCAGGACTCTTCCCTGACGCGTTACGATTTCTCCGTGCATGTTATTAAGTAGAACACGTCCACTGGGGGTCACCAGTCTCGGGGTGTGCGCACCAGGGGCTGGGCAGAGAAAAAAAGACCTCACACTCTCCACCTTCATGCTTCTTAGAATTGGAACTTTTTTAGTGATTTTTTTCTAACCAGTCTTCTCTTCTTATTGGAGAGCTATCAAGTAATAAGTATTTACTTTCTTATTTCAAAAGCTTAGTACTTTTTTTCGTTTATAAATAGATAAAAGTTTATCTCACTATGTGTCATGAAACATGATTTTATCTATGGGTAGAAACTCAGCTGCCTTTCCTACCTGCTATAACTGTCTTTAGCTTCCGGGGAAGGGCCCTCTTGGTTTTTCCCCTTTTTCGAGAAACTGCTGTGGAGTCCCAGCTTTGCACCTCCCCACGCCCGGCCCCCTGCAGAGCCCTTGCGCCGCTGCCCGCGTGTGCGCGGTTAACCCGGCGGTCTGCTCCCTGCAGTGCATCGACCGCGAGGCGCGGGCCGCCAACATCTCCAGCTCCCTCAGCCTGCCGGACAAGACACTGCAGTTTGTCAAGGACCACCCTCTGATGGACGACTCTGTGACCCCAATAGACAACAGGCCCAGGCTGATCAAAAGCGGCGTGAACTACACACAGATCGTGGTGGACAGGACCCAGGCCCTGGACGGGACTGTCTACGACGTCATGTTTGTCAGCACAGGTGGGTCTCGGGCCTTGGTAACAAGCTTGGTGGATCCAGCTGACCTGGGCCAAGGGGAGCTAGCATCTCCCCCGGGTGCCCTGGGCAGTGTGTATTTCTGAGAAGTCTCCACACCCTGTGTCTTCAGATCTCTGTGACCATCAGACCACCTGGGGCACCAGTTAGAAATGCAAGCCCTGGCCCAAATCTGGAAATTCAGGTCTGGCAAGTATGGGTTGGTGCCAGGGGAGCCAGGGGAGAGCAGGAAGGACAGACAGTGCCTCCCTCCTGCCTGTGCTGACACCTGTGGGAGGCACTGCTTCCCGGAAGCCCGTGGGTTAGGAAACCAGTGTTTCTGGAATGAGAGGCAGTGGCAGGTGAGTGGCACCTGGCGGGTGCAGGGTCCTGGGGCTTTCCAGCCACACCTCTGAGCAGCAGCAAGGGCCCTGCCCTCACCTGCCGGGGCCACCTGGTAGGATGGCAGCCCAGAGGAGTGGTGGAGCCCCAAACCACTTTCAGTTGATCTGAGGACACAGTGTTGGCAGTGCTGACAAGGGGGTTGGCATCAACAATGAGACATTAGTTTATTCATAAAACACTGGGAATAACCAATGCCCGTTGACTTGATGTTTATCTTTCCCTGGCTTTTCTTTTTCCATTTCTAATGCAAAAACGCTGCCTGCCTTTGAGTGTCCTGCTAAGTGAAGGAGTGGAGAGGACGAAGGGTGGCATCTTTGCCTACAGCGCAGTGCTGTCCTCCTTCCGGGCGGGTCACTGACCTGGGCTTTGACCTTGCAGACAGGGGCGCCCTGCACAAGGCCGTCACCCTGGAGAATGATGTCCACATCATCGAGGAGACACAGCTCTTCCAGGACTTGGAGCCAGTGCAGACCCTCCTGCTGTCTTCCAAGCAGGTGAAGCGCCTCGCAGCTGGGTGGGGTGGCTGAGTCTTGGGGGCACTGCTAGGCTGGGCAGCCGAGTCTCAAATTGTCGCAGCTCTGGGCCCCAGAGGCCCCTTTATCCATCTAGCCCAGGGACCCCACCTTTGGGCTCTCACAGAAAGTCCTCGGCTCCATGGGGTTTGGGGCAAAGGGAAGGCAGCCTAGGGAGAGGTAACTTCCTCCTGAACGTTGTAGAACCTCGCTGAAGTGTTGGAGCCACACGTGTGGGGGTGCTGCTGGCCTGCAACAAAACACTTCCTGTGCCCTGACCTTGGTGAGGGTGAGACCCTGCCAGCCATGCTGCTGCTGGGGATACCGTCAGCGTAGAGAACCTTTACCTGGGCACTGCTCCCTCCCCTCAGACGCGGCGCTAACCTCGCCTACACCAGGGTCGGCAGACCTTTTCTGTAAAGGGCCAAGATTGTGCTACTTGGAGGGCCACGCCGTGTCCACCTCTGCCTTGTGGCATGAGTGGCGTGGCCCACCTGCACACGAGTGGGCCTGTTTGTGCTCCTGCAAAGCCTTAGCTGTGGGCACTGAGCTTACAGGTCATGAAATCTTCGTTTCATGCCACAAATATTCCTTTGAGTTTTATTCAATTAAAAATACAAAGCAAATTATTAGCAGTTGGGCTGCATAGAAACAGCCAGGGGGTTGGACTCTCCCGGGCAGCAGGCCATCTCCCAGACCCATCCACAGTGGCCTGGGGGATGTGCACCATTTTATGGCTGGGGTGGAGCCTTGTGGAGCACAGTGCAGGCTAAGCACTATGTTGCCTGGTCCAAACCCTGGCCCCACAGCACCTCACTGTGAGAGCCTGAGCAGGCCAGTCCTGCCTCAGTTTCCTGATCTGTACAGTGGGGACAGCAGACTATATGTTGGAGAGGCCTAGCCTAGCCTCACCCTGTGACTGTGGCCTAGGACCTCACTTCTTGGGTATCCCCATGCTGTGACCCCTGAGCTGATGGGCTCTGGGGCCTTGGCAGTGCCAAGGTTAACGCTAGAAATTGGAGGTGAGCCATGTGTACTGTTCCCCTTGGCTATAGGCCCACCCGTTCACTCACCTCTCCCACGTGCAGCGGTTTCAGAGCCTTGCTCCAGGGTCTCAGGCCTGGCTGTCATCCTTCCCTGCTCTGTTGCTGAGCATTTCGGTTTGACCTTCCGCTCTCCCGAGTGGCCTTCCCTCTCCAGGTGTGGCTGGAGGTTCACAGCCCCTCAGCACTTCTGCCCCACCTGGTTCCTGATAGGACTCTCCAGCCAGCTTGTGGGCCCAGGCCCGCTGCAGCCCACTCCTCCCTCAGCTCCAAACAGTGGCCACCTGGCATTGTTGAGAGGAGACCCAGAAGCTCTTCTGCAGCCACCATGTTGCTCGGGCAGGGGCCGGCACCCTGGCAACCTCCAAGTTAGCATTCATCAGAGCAAAGGTGGGGACCAGTGCAAACATGTCATGAGAATCATTCTTCTCTGCTCCACAGCTTCATTCAGGGACTCAGGCTGGCCCTGCGTCTTGAACCCAAGGTTTCTGGGGCACTTGGATGCTGATCCAGTCGTCGGGAGAAGGGGGCAGGGTCAGGTATAGGTGGTTACGGGTCAGTCCTGTGCTCACCTGCCTTCAGCCAGGACTTGGTCACATGGCCACACCCAGAGTGGGGGTTGACCATGCAGGAAGCCTGGCACCCCAGGGGAGTGGTTTGCCTGTCCCTGCAAGAGCCCTCTGCACTGGGGGAGGGGGTGGCTCTGTTGCCTAGAACAATATGAGTGCACCCTACATGCCATGGCCTCCCCTGCCTTCTCCGCAAGCTGGTGGGCTCGGGATGCAGGGGTGTTGCCTGCAGTGCTGCTTGGCAGCAGGAAGCAGGTGTTCAGAGGTAAAACTAGCTCCCCACCGACAAGGTCTTGGACATTGTTGGAGCCTGGCAGTGTTGTGGACCACTGGCGAGCAGCTGCACAGCGCTATGGGGTGGGCCATGTGTACTGGTCCCCTTGGCACGCCCTTCCGCATCCTTGGCATGGCTTCCTCTCCCCCGAGGGCAAGGGCATTTGGTTTATTTATTGTCATAAATACACCGCATAAAATTTACCTTTTAACTTTGTAAGCGTGCACTTCACTGGTGGTAAGTACATTCTTACTGCCATGCAGCCATCACCACATCCAGCTCCAGAGCTTTTTCATCTGCAAATCTGATTCTCTGTCTCCATTAAATACCTACGCCCCAGTCCTCCCCCCCAGCCCGGCACCCACCATCTACTCCCACCTCTATGAGTTTGTCTAGGGACCTTGTATAAGTGGAGTCATATATTGTCCTTTGTGACTGGCTGACTTTGCTTAGCACAGTGTGCTCAGGTTCACTCATGTTGTAGCGTGTGTCAGAATTTCCTTTTCAAAGCTGAGCAACATTCCACTGCACGTATGGACATTCTGTTTACCCGTTCATCCATTGAGGGACCTTGGGTTGCTTCCACCCCAGGCTGCTGTGAATAACAGTGCTGTGAACTTAGGTGCAGATACCTGTTTGGGTTCCTGCTTTCGGCCCCTTTGGGAATCCACAGCAAGTGTGCTTTGCACAGTCATCTTTGAGCTCACAGAGCAGGTTGTGTCTCGTTCTCACGGGGACACCCTTTGATGGTGACACAGCCTACATGGCAAAGGAGAGAAAATGCCTTCAACAGCGTCGTCAGCTCTCCCCACCGCTGCTCATCACCCCCCACCCACCACAGGGCACATGGCCTGTGTGCACCGAGATCGAGACCTGTGAGCCCAGTGCTGTGGGCAAGGCGCAGTCCCCAGATGGGCCTGGGTCCAGCGAGGGGTTGCGGGGAGAGAGCAGGAACACTCAGCAAACCTTGTGGATGCCGGGCAGTCCCTTGTCAGGATGCCTCCCCTTTACCTTTAAAATTTGTTCATTTTGAAATAATTTTAAATTCAAGGAGGGGGGCGGTGATAGTGCAGGGAGCCCCATAGGTCTTTCACCAGTGCACACCTCTCATTGGAGGGGCCCTTGCAGCCTGGCGCTCTCACAGGGCTCCAGATGGTGGATGCCCCCCATTCCCATGACGTCATTTTGGGCTCCAGGGTCCCACATGTCAGGGGGCTCCCCAGGCAGCCCAGGCCACCTCTTCTGTGCTGTGTGTCTATGCTTTTGCTAGGGTCCCTTGTAGGTCCTGGTGGCCCTTTGAGGTTACCCACTTGGCTTTTCCTGCAGGAAACTTTCTCACCTGTGCAAGCCTTGTGATGCCCTGCTGTGATCCATGGCACCCTCACTGCTATGACTGATGAGCAGGGCGGCCCTGGGCCTGGTTTTCTCTGCCACCTGCCCCACAGTCCGGCTGCCTGCAGGGGGACCTGCCCTTTTTCTTGGCTGTGCTTGCTCACTGGGGGTCTGACCTTAGACGCATCACAGGCCCCGAGATCTGGGGCCACTCCAGGGACTTGAGCTCCAGCTGGACTCTGAAGTGCATTCGGACCTGGCCTCTGAGGAAGACAGCTATTGTGTCTCATCTGAGTCTAATGCTAAGTCTGTGTAAACTTGGAGTCTTTTGATGTTAACCAGAAGGCCTTTCTGGGACATCCGGGGAGATGGAGGCTCCCAGGCAAAGGAGAGGGGTACACCAGCACCTGGGTTGCAAGCCCTGGATCTGCTCGGGTGGACTTGTGTGGGGCCTTGTTCCAGCCAAGCTCAGTGGAGACCGGCCAGCCCTGGCTGCCTGTGCGCCAGCTTTCTGACAGCCCTGGGCATTGGGCCGGGGAGGGGGGTCACAGGGTGGGTGCATCCCAAACTAAGTGCTCCAGAGCACCAGCAGCCTGCTCTGCCCTACTGAGCGTGGCAGTCAGGTTCCTGTCTGCAATTCCTCCCTCATAAAGGCAGACGCGTGACACACGGTCGCCTTGGGACTTTAATTCCATTTGCTATCGTGTGTTCACTTTCCTGCAACCTTTGTTTGCACCTCCGACCTGTGGGCTGTGCTGGATGCAGACACTGGGACCGCTGCGCTCCGGTGCCCACATTGGTTCTGAGGTTCTGCCCTGTGGCCTGGTGGTGAGGCCTGGGGTGTCTGGCTGGTGATCTCCCTCCCAGGGGGCTGGCTGGGCTCAGAGATGCACTCTGCTGGTGGTCAGGATGATGGTGGCCTGGACGAGGGAGGGACCGGGCCAGGCCCAGTGCTCTCTGAGTTAGCAGGTTCTGCTGGGCACACACGCTGCTCACTGTCACAGGCTGCACTCAGAGTCGTCTCGAGTGGGACATGTCTCATCCCAGGAGCGAGGAGGCTCCTGCTCCAGGAAGCACCTCGTCACAGCTCCTCTTAGGCTGGAGAAGATGCCCTTGGCACCCGTCAGGATGCTGGCTGCCAGGACCCACCCATTCTCTTCTGTTTACACCCACAGGGCAGAAGGTTCCTTTATGCCGGTTCCAACTCGGGCGTGGTCCAGGCCCCCGTGGCCTTCTGTGGGAAGCATAGCACCTGCCAGGACTGCGTATTGGCCCGCGACCCCTACTGTGCCTGGAACCCAGCCACAGTGGCCTGTGTGGCCCTGCACCTGACCGACAGTGCCAGCAGGTACCCGGCGGGGGACAGGAGGCATGCAGGTGCTTGGCCTGCCCCTTCCCCGCAAGGCGGCATGCCCACTCTGTGCCCTTGTCTTGCAGGGGTCTGATTCAGGACATGAGCGGGGATGCGTCCACCTGCCCCGGTGAGTTGCTCTCGCTCTCTCCTCTCCCTTCAGACCAGGCCAGTCCTGTCACCATTTCATGGCGCTTCGGTGCTGCAGCACTTTGCACATTTGTTCTTTCTCTACTCAGAGGTCCAGTATCTTTTGCAGACCTTGTGACCTTTCTCTGAAATTTTATTGCAGAAAAGGATGTTTGAAGCCACACAGAATATATTTGTTTACCAGAAAGCACTCTCCCATCTCCAGCTGTCACATCCGCTCTTGAGATGCGTCTCTTCTCTTCGCTTGAGCTTGTCAAACAAAACCTGCCCCTCTGACCGGGTGGGGGAGGGTCAGTGCGCCGGCAGTCAGGCCGAGGCCCAGGGAGCATTCCCCTTGGGTGACCCCGCTGCTGGGGGTCAGGTGTGTCCCAGCTGAAGGCAGGCGTGCTGTGGACGCCTGCCCTCGAGTCCCTGACCCGACAGCTGTCGCCCGTTAGGACAGGTTTGGGAGGAGGGCACCCCCAGGCTGACGTGCCGTGGCCACTAGCAGCGGGTGCCATGCTCACCGCAGAGCGCGGCTGTCTGACGGGCGCCTGGCTGGTGCTCGGGCGCCCCACCTGACCTGTTTTCTCCTGGAAAACCAGGGTGTGAGGCGGGATTCCTGCTGCTCAGACGCCTCCCATCTCTCTGTCCCCAGGGGCTGCTGTCTAGGGCTCATCTGTGCTCTTCGCTCACGCATGTCTTTATCTCTTTAGTTTTTCTGGAAGACTCCATGTTGCTCCTGTGGGTGAAACTCTTGTGTCGTCTTGTGCGTATTGACCTATTTTTAAAAGAAGTTAAGTAGGGATCAGGGTTGTTGACACTGTGCACATTTATTTTGATGTTCCAGATAAAATTCAGGGAAGTTTCCGGCAGCATTTTTTCAAGCATGGCAGCGCCGTGGAGCTCAAATGCTCCCAAAAGTCCAACCTGGCGCGGGTGGTGTGGACGTTCCGGGACGGCGTGCTCAAGGCAGAGAGCCCCAAGTACAGCCTGGTGAGCGGGCAGAACCTGCTCATCTTCAACCTGTCGCGGGGGGACACTGGGGTGTACCAGTGCCTGTCGGAGGAGAGGGTCAAGAACAGGACAGTCCTGCAGGTGGTGGCCAAACACGTCCTAGAGGTCAGGGAGGTCCCACGGACCCCGGGGACCTTCTCCTCTCCGGCCACCCGGACTGAAGGTGGGAGGATCACACCCAAAGGGGCAGCGGGGCCCGTCCGAGGCTCCCTGCCCCAGACCCCGGCTGTGCGGCTCACCACATCGTCCGGCCCGGTGCCCACCAGCACGTCCTGCGAACCAAAGGTCGTCATCAACACAGTCCCCCAGGTGCAGTCGGAGAAGGCCACGTATCTCACGTCCAGTGACAACCGCCTCCTCGTGTGCCTCTTCCTGCTCTTCTTTCTGCTCTGCCTCTGCCTCTTTTCCTACAACTGCTACAAGGGCTACCTGCCGGGGCCGTGCCTCCGGCTGCGCTCGGCCGTGCTGCCCGGGAAGAAGCGCCCCCCGCCGGGCTTCGACTGCGAGCAGAGCGTGAAGGAGACGCTGGTGGAGCAGGGCAGCGTCTCCCAGCAGAACGGAGGGCAGCCCAGGCCGGCGCCGGACACCGGCTACGAGACGGAGCCGGATACCACGGCCAGCAGGGCGCCCACCGACAGGGAGGACTCGCAGAGGATTGACGAGCTCCCGGGCAGGGACCGGCCCTTTGACGTCAAGTGCGAGCTGAAGTTCGCTGACTCGGACGCAGACGGTGACTGAGGCGTCGCCCGGAGAGGGCTTTGTGTTCCTGTGCAGTAGCCTCGTCCCGTGCGCGTAGGTAGCCGTCCTCCGCAGACCTCAGTTCTGTGTCTTTTCTCTTGGGTTGGACTCGTGACTCGGTTTCTCTTTGTCTTTTCGGAAAACAGCGAGCACCCCACCTGGGCTCCCTGGGTCGTGGGAGCACCGTAAGACGTGCCCGCGGGCAGGGGCGACCGCCGGACCGCCACGGGCCTGGAAGCATAGCACCTGAGCATCACCTCCTCAGAAAGCAGCCACTGAACGATAATTTAATTCCAGATTGGAAAGGACATTTTAGTTTATCAGATTGGTAACTTACCGCCTGTTGTCCAGATTGGCACCAAGCTTTCCTCCCACGTGATTATCTTTTAGGATTTTGCTTTGAGTTGAAGTGTTAGGTCATTTGTTTTTTAAGTTACTAAAGCAGATGTTTTAATGTTTAGAAGATGTACATCTTCTAGATTTCATTGTACATTAGGGTAAGATGCGGCTTACATTGCTTAAGATTCTCAGGGATAAACTTACTTTGCTAAATGCGTTCTTTCTGCTTTTAGAAATGCAGACAACGCCGTCTCTTGAGCACACTGACTTTTTTTTAAATTTTTATTACTTGAGGGAAGCATCATTTTCAGAGAGATTTCTTTCTGTACTCTTTCTTGTTTTAACTCTTGAAGAGGAGAAGGCATGGAGGGCTGGCCCGTGACCACTGGCAGGGTTTTGAGCTAGGGATGGTGGCCACCCGGGGAGAGCCGGGCTGGCCCAGAGCCGAGAGGCCAGCGTTTCACGGCCCGTTGCCCTTTGCCCCCGGTCCCAGCCTCCTGCCCAGGCAGCCTGGTCCCTGAACACCTCCGACCTCTTTTGCTGCCATGTGACACCTCGTACCCACCCAGACTTCCCGCCTGGCTGACCTGAGCCGTCCACAGCTAGAAGAGAGCCAGCGGCGGGAGGGACGGGCGTGCCCACAGCTGCCCGCAGACACCGCCGTGCGTTCCCGTGTGGCCTGGCACGTCTTTAAGGGGTGACGGCAGTGCCCTGAACATCGTCGACCTCGCTCCCCCTCCCGCTGTCCAGACGCCCCATAAGAGGAGACATTTTTCCGTGGCAAAGAGCAATAAGCTGGGTTTTCGTGTGCCTGTGTGGAGTCTCTTCTTCCAGCATGATCGGAGTCCACTGTTTCGGTGTAAACATTTGTGTTTTATAAGATTTACTTTATTTTTATTTTTCTACTTTGAATTGTATACATTTGAAAAGTAACCGAATAAATGAGAAGCTTGTATCCTAATACGGGCACGTGATTTGCTGAGGCCGCGGGGCCTCCCTCCCGAAAGGCGTGTGGTGGACGGGCCTCCTGTCCCCTCCTGGGCGGCCTGGGCAGGGGCAGGGCGGCGCTGGGTCCCTCCTCTTCCTGAGCTGTTTCCCTTCCCTGCATGCGGTGTTCCTGACGACCTCGGCCTCAGTGCCCTCTCTCTTTTCTGTCCTCTGTCTCGCAGCCTCACCTCCTCTGCCCTTCCCCCCTCCGGGGTCCTTCTCCCTGTCCTGTCTGGGCCCCGAGTCATCTTCCTCTCCCCGAAGCCCCTGGCTGGCCTCCGGGCCTGACAGCCGCCCGCGGGTCACCCTGCTGCCGCCCTTCCTCAGCAACCAGGCCCAGCACGTGCATGCCCTGGGGACCTTCCACCTCTTCTGCCAGGCCACAGGTGAGCGGGGCACCTGTCCGGGTGGGGTGGGGGAGGGGCCCCGACACTGCCCTCCGGCCGCATCCCCCTCAGTCCCAGGGAAACTTAGCGGTCACCCGTGGCTGTTTCTCTGGGCGGCGGGCAGCCCGCTTTCCCACGAAGGTTGCGTGTTAGCTGTTCTGCCTTCGCTGCCCAGCTCCGCCTGGTGGCTGAAAGCTGCGGGTGCGTGGGTGTGGCCGAGCACCAAACTGCGTTTACGAACACCAGCCGTGGCCACACGTGGTCCAAAGGCCTCGATAAGTGATTTTCAGCCTTCTCCTTCTTGTGGCTCACATAAACTAATTACTAAAACTGCGGCACAAGAAAAAATTTTTTTCGATTTGACCAAAAAAAATAGGCGTCATTTTGATTCACGCCGGAAGGCTGTTGTTGTGGGGGGTTTTGACAGTCAAAGGGAAAAGAGGTTAGTGCCAGGTACTGCATGTTTTATAAATTCCTGCAGTGCACCGGCTGAAAATTGCTGGTCTGTAAGATTATATCTGTGTCTGAAAACAGTTTGGGTTTGAGGTATTTGGATGTTTCAGAAATTGACTTCAGAGTCTCTGGACTGGGAATTTTTAACGACGTGCTTGGTGATGCGGTAAAGACGGAGTCCGTGGGTGCCCTCGGACCCGGGAGGCGTTCTCAGGTGGCGCTGGGGCGGGACATCAGGCCAGCCCGACTTCGGAGTGTGTCCTGGGCTCCGGGCAGTACCTGGGAGCACAGGCCTCCCAGGTGTGGGCATTTAAATAGCCACAAAGAGAAGACAAGACGTTACAGGCCTGGCACCTCTGTTCTCTGCTGAAAGAGGAGGAATGAAATTAATGAGGAAAAAGCAAATCCTGTTTTGTTTTTGAGATTTTAAACAAACAGAAGCTGAGAAGGTCCAGCTGCTGCCTGCCTCCTGCTGAGCCTTCGATCGCCTCCCTCTGCCCTGAGCCAGCACGTGTGGCCCCTGGTGGTCTGCACAGGCCCGGGGCTGGGCAGAGGAAGTTGCCCGGGAGCAGGAGGCGGTGCAGCCAGACTGCGGGGTGGGTCCGTGTGGCCAGGCCTGCGTGGCCGCCCCCACGCTAATGCCGCTCCTGCACGGATGATTCCCCGGGCGGCACCAGGAACTGCCCCAGCCCCTGCGCCCACCCCCTACAGGCACAGTGGGACCTTCCTTTCCAGTGGGGAGGATGGTGCTCGGTCCCAGTGACCAGTGGGGGGTGTGCTCAGGAGCCACGCACTATTACGTGGGAGCACTTGGCGTGTGCTACCTGGCCGCTGGGTGTGCGCGTGCACACAGGGCCCTGCACATGGCCACTGGGACGGGGCAAGGGAAGACCGGGGCTGGGAACAGATTTCAGGGCTGGGCCAGAACAAAAGCCGCTCTGGGTGCTTCAAACACGGGAGATCAAGGCCGGGGCTTTAGTTACAAAGATGATAATGCTGGGCTGGGGCCCCACACAGTAAATGTGCAGGAGTGAGGGGTCCTCAGAGGGTCCTGGCTTTCACGGTGCTCACTGCTGCCCAGGGGCTTCAAGGGGTCGCCCCACCTCCTGCTGGTGCCTCCATGGTGGGACCTGGAGGAAAGCTGGGGCCAAAGGTAAGGGATGCAGCAGGTGGCCTTGCAGCCCACACAGCACAGGTGGGCAGGGGGAGTGAGGAGCTGAGGGCAGGCCCCTCAGCGCCGGACCTGGGTTGGCAGGAGGAGCAGCGTGAGGTCCGGTGCCCAGGATGGGTGGACCAGGGAAACAGGCCCAGCCCTTCCCTGGCCTGCTCACAGGTTCAGTTTCTCTCCAGAGTCGTTTGCCCCACCTGGGACCTTCCCTTTGTTACCGAGGCCACAACCTGAGGCCGTGGGGCAGCGGGGATGGACTGGCCTTTCTAGGGAGCCTGTTGTGTTCTGTTCCATCAAGAGGGGGGTACTGTTTAGGTCCTGTTCAGGGTCAAGGCTGCCCCGAGGGGCCTGAGGCTCTGCATTTGCCCAGAACGGGCTCAGGGCTGCAGACTGAATGCTTCACACACACACACCCCTCACAAACATCATAAACCACACAAAACACCCCACACGCACACACTGCAAACCATACACATACATAGCACACATATACATGCTACACTGCACACATCACACACGCACCCCCACGTACACACATGCACATGCCACACACACACTTTAGGTGATATTTGGATATTCAGGTCTGGGTGGCCTTTTATGTATTAACTATAGTGTTAGCAGTAGGAGCCCTGTAAGCCCCTGGGGTCAGAGGGGCAATGAAAGCAGTCCTGGGCCTCAGGAGGTCCCGGCCCCCACGCTCCTGCAGTGGTGGTTGGCAGGGGCACTCCTAAAACGCCAAGGCTGAGCTGGGGGTAGCTGACTCGTGAGTTGGTCATTTGCCAGAAAGGGCCAGCCCCTCCACATGGGGCAGGGCGTCCTGGCACCTTGCTAGCCTCATGCTGAGGGTGTTTGCTGAGGTGGTTTTCCCAGAAGTGCTGTCTCTTCTCTGTTGTGTGGTAATCCACGCGCTTTCACAACAGCGTGGCACTGTCCTGTGGTTCCTGGAAGTCTGCTACGCGCAGGAGTGTCATCCAGGGCAGGGACCCCTGGAGCTCGGGGCTGTGTGGGCGCCTCCCACACCTGCTCACAGTGTGATCTGTAGAGCAGCTCTGCCAGCCTTGGTTCCAGCAGTTAGGATCCGGGCACCTTGGGGTTTGCTCTTCAGCTGGTCACAGGCAGCTTTGTGACAGACTTGAGACACTTAGGAGTAAAGCCAACAAAATTGAGGTGCTGGAGACCCGGGAGAGCACCGTTCCCTTCCCGGCTGGGGCTGCCTGATTTCTGTGCCTTTGCAGACCCCGGGCCTGTGGGGGAGGGGTACGTGGTCCTGGGGTCTGGTGTGGGCATACTTGGTGCTCACAGCTCCTGGGTGCTCTGAGAATGGCCCCCAGGGGTGCACCAGGCTCCTGGTTGCTGGCAGGACCCTGGGCATGAGAATGGGAGATGGGCTAGCTCACTGGCAGCTGGCCTTGGGGTCAGAGTGGACCACACGCACGGGGCGCCTGGAGGACGTGCTTGTGTGGGGCTGCACAGGTGGCGGGGGCACCTGGGGGACGCAGCCCCAGCGCTTGGCGTGGATCTCATCTGGGGCTGTCGGGCCCCCGTCTCCAGGGTGGGCGTCCCCCCTCCTTGGGGAGAGACCATTGCTCCCAGGGCCTCTGGCTTTGTTGAAAAGTAGAATCAGTTCTGCACCATGTTCTCCTCAGACGATGTGGGGCCGGTGGGCAGGAGGGCACTGACCCTGAAGTAAGTGCCAGAACCGCAGACTCCTGGCAACCCCCCGACAGAGGCCAGCCCAGGCGGCCGTGGGGGACAGGCCCTCGTGCTGAATTTCCGAGGAGCAGGCCCCTGTGGCTAGATGAGTTTGGGCTGCGGGGTCCCCGCCGATGTCAGAGCGTGGGGGCTGCTGACCAGTTTTAACTTTCCCTTTCCCTCTCTCTCTCTAATTTCCTGTGCATTCAGAATGAGTTGGATAGTTTTTTAAAAGAATAAGTGGAACGTAAGTACTTCTTTTTTTAATGTGTTGCTACGGTTAAGTAGACATTTAAAGAATACTGCAGGAGGCTTAGGAATGTCCTCAGTGGAGGTGCTCGTGGTCGGTGTTCTCGGAACCGTTCACACCCAGGAGCCATGTCTTTGGGGAACTTTGTCTCTGAAAGCTCCCCGCCCATGTGGTCCTCAGCTCAGGCTACCCATCTCCTCGTCCCAGCGCTGGTCATACCGCCTTCCAGAAGCTACGGCACCCATCCCGGGGGCTCCAGGCCAGTGGGTGGCGTCAGCAGGCGGTGCCCTGGGACGAGGAAGGAGACTGGGCTTTTTTAGAGCTGACTCCAGTGTCCAGGCAAAGAAAAGTCTCGCATTCTTGACCATAACACCTCACAAAAAGCAGCTTTTAAAGTTCGAGTCCACCGAGATGCCCAGCAGCCAGGGCGCCGGGGTGGCGGTGGGAGGCCCACTGTGCAGCTGGGGAGCATCTGGCTGCGTGTGCAGATGTGAGCATGCGCATGCAGAGGGAGGGAGCGCGCGTGCCCCGGTGTGTGCGTGTGCATGGACGTGCACATGCGGGGAGAGCTGTGGGCGGAGTACAGAGCCACAAAGAATTACAGTGATGGAGTGAAAATGAAAATCCTGCAAGGGAAGCAAGCACGCCACGGTCACGAAGCCGGCGGGCTGCCACGCAGAGCACTGCGGACACGTTTGGAGTTCCCCTCAGAGTCCATGCACATTTCTTTTCTCAAGATAGCATTTTATTTTTATTATAAAATCACTGTTTGTTGCAGTGAATTTGGAAACTCCAGGAAAGTATAAAGAGCAAAATTTAAATAACCTAAAATGAAGTCACCCAAAGGTGTCCCCACCAGCATTAGGACCATTTTTAGGCCCTTTCTCTGTGCGTTATATGAACGTCTACACACACACGCACACGTTTACCCATTTATGCACATATGTACATGCACAAGGCATGTGTGTTCTTCCATGCAATGTAATGTTAGCTTCTCTCTGTGTTGCTGAATCTCTTTCTTAAAT